AAATAGTGGTGAGGACTGCACAGCCTAGTGAGTGTGGTTAATGTCACTAATGGTGCACTTAAGACTAGTTGAAACAGCCATGGTTTGGGGATATGTATTTTACGAAAATTAAAAAAGAAAAAAATCCTAAAAATAATATGAATCAAGAATTTTCTGGGCTTAAAAGAAATAAATCTCTAGGGAGGGGAATGCACACATTATGCTACATTAAAACAAAAAATCCTCCTGGAAGTTACTCTTGTTGTTGGGTGCTGTGGAGTTGATTTCAACTCATAGCGACCCCGTGTGACGAAGCAGAACTGCCCCATTGGGTTTTCTAGGCTATAATCTTTGCAGGAGCAGATCGCCAGGTCTTTATCCCTCAGAGCCACTGGTGGGTTCAAAGCACCAACCTTCAGTTAGAAGCCAAGCACTTAACCGCTGTGTCACTAGGGCTCTTTTGGAAATCATAAACAAGGCCAAAAGCCAGGAGAATCATCATAAAAAGAGTTTTTCTGTCAAGATCCCCGTTTTGGTAACTCCGTGCTGGGCTGCCCCTGGCACTGGCTGGCTGGACCAGTTTATTTACCCATCCCGTAAAGAAGAGCTGACATCCTTGCCTCAAGTGCTGGGATGGTGGCTCCAGACCCCAAGGCCTGGCTGTCTGGGGTCAGGGAGATGATTCTGGTGTGGTGGGCAGGCCCAGCATGGAAGACGTGTTCTCAGACCCATCATTACCTCAGCCAAGAGACCAGAGCCCCTTCCAGAGCACCATGGTCCGGTGGGTACCAGGGCCTGGTTCAACCAGGAGCCCAGGAAACCATCAACACTTTTCCCTCATGACTGTGTGAGAAAGGAGGATTTCATGGTCTTTCCATTGCTATTGGCAATGGAATCACTAGATCCCCACAACCTCCCACTTCACCACCCCAGCCCCAAAGCCGGGCATCTACAGCGAGGGGACGTTGGAAGAGGTTTCACTGGCCACTGCACAGAAAGAGGAAAAGAAGCCTTCTTGCCAGCATAGCTGGTGAGTCTGTTTTGTGGTTAGAGACACAGAGAACGTCTGTCAGGATGCCCAACAACTCCCCAACACGAAGCCCTCAACGATAAAGGGAAGTCTTTGTCCTCGTTTATCAGAATGCAATAAGTCAATCAGTTCTGTCTATATATCTCTAATCAAAGCCAGTAAACTGTTTCCTAGAAGAAACACAGAAGCATGTATTTTGGCAGAAAATAAAATTCCTGCCCAGCCAAAAAGGCTCAATGCTTCCAAAGTACTGAATTTTGGCTCATTTCATCTAAATTGGCTAAATCACAGAACAGTCATGTTTCTGCTCAGATATTCTCTTGGTGGAAATGAGATGGGAGAGAGAGGGTACAAACCAGAATTGAGGGAACAGGCTCTCTGCTCTCCCTGTTCCAATATAGTTAAGATGCCAGCATAGCTGGGAATACTATTGTGTTCAAGAGGCTGCTCTTTCCTTGTTTGGCAAATGCTTACTGGCCCCAACTCTGCAGCACTGTGATTCTTAAGATTTACGTAACAACAAGGATCTTCTAAACTTTGGTTTACATAATCAATGTATTTCCAAAAAGCAAAGCATATGTCAATTTCTTTTTTCTTTTTGATAAACTGAACCCTACCAGTCCTTCTCATATACAGGCTCTGCCTTAAAAAATGTGTTAATTGAGAGAATTCTTTAAATGCTTTGGGGTGCTTTTATTGAAAGGAAACCTAAGTTTTAAAGATTTTCTCAGGGCTATAGTTTTGGGGTTCTTCCAGCCTCAATGGCTCCAGAAAGTCTGGATTCCATGAAAATTTCAAATGCTGTTCCGTATTTTCCCCCTTTTGATCAGGATTCTGCTATAGAATCTTTGATCAAAATGTTCAGTAATGGTAGCCAGGCACCATCCATTTCTGGTCTCGTGGCAAAGGAGATACTTGCTCACGGACGCAATTAGTTAGACATTCCATTTCCTCCTCCTGTTCCTGACTCTCCTTCCTCTGTTGTTCCAGGCAAAAAAAAAAAAACCAAACCCACTGGTGCTGAGTTGATTCCGACTCATAGCGACCCTGTTGGACAGAGTAGAACTGCCCCATAGGGTTTCGAAGGCTCTAAATCTTTACAAGAGCAGACTGCCACATCTTTCTCCTGCAAAGAGTGAACTGGTAGGTTCAAATTGCCTACCTTTTAGGTAGCAGCCTGAACTTAACCACTGCACCACCAGGGCTACTTCCAGGTGAATAAAAAAAACAAACCTGTTGCCATTGAGTAGATTCCGACTCACAGCAACCCTACAGGATAGAGTAGAACTGTCTCATAGGGTTTCTGTCATGGATTGAATTGTGTCCTCCAAAAATATGTGTATCAATTTGGGTGGGCCATGATTCCCAGTATTGTGTGATTGTCTACCATTTTGTCATCTGATGTGATTTTCCTATATGTTGTAAATCCTATCTCTATGATGTTAACGAGGTAGGATAGGTGGCACTTATGTTAATGAGGCAGGACTCAATCTACAAGATTGGATTGTGTCTTAAGCCAATCTCTTTTGAGATATAAAACAAAGAAGTGAGCAGAGAGACAAGCAGAGAGACGGGGGGACCTCGCACCACCAAGAAAGCAGCACTGGGAGTACAGCATGTCCTTTGGACCCAGGATTCCTGCACAGAGAAGCTCCTAGTCCAGAGAGAGAAAGCTTTCCCCTGGAGCTGACACCCTCAATTTGAACTTCTAGCCTACTAGACTGTGAGAAAATAAATTTCTCTTTGTTAAAGCCATCCACTTTTGGTATTTCTGTTATAGCAGCACTAGATAACCAAGACAGTTTCCAAGGAGCGGTTGGTGGATTCGAACTGCCAACCTTTTGGTTAGCAGCCGAGCTCTTAAGGACTGAGCCACCAGAGCTCCTTCCAGGTGAACAGAGACCAATTAATAGTTTAGCTTAATTAGTAAAGAAGGTCTACCTTGAGCATTATGTTCTTTTAAAGAACTATCTATACGGGCTCAAATTGACAACACTAACTCAAAAAGTTAGATAGGAAGCTTAGGGGGCAGTGAATTTATGTTAATGGGGGAGGAACAATTTGGAAAAGGAAGGCGAGAATGGCTGCACAACTTGAAGGATGTAATCAATGCTACTGAATGGTACGTGTAGAAATTACTGAATTGGCATATGTTCTGCTGTGTGTCTATTTTCAACAACAACAAAAATAAATAAATTTTTTAAAAAAGGAAACCTAAGAATTAGCACCATCAAATTTGCCTGTTTTATAAAATAGTGTGCATTGCGCACTGTTCTTGTTCTGTATTGTATCTTATAAGTACAACGGGATACTGTACAGCCAGCAAGAAGGAAGGATGATGCTGATATACTTGTGATCTCGTGGGAAGGGGTCCATATCTGGCGGGGTGATGAGTTGCAGAATAGAATTACAACCTTTTTTTATTTTTATTTTAAAAAACACATATATACATGTTTATATATGCATAAAAAACATCTGGAAGGATATATAAACCAGCTACCATCGAGTTGAGTCCAGCTTACAGCACTCCCATGTGTTTAAGAGTACAACTGTGCTCCATAGGGTTTTCGGCTCTGATTTTTTGGAAGTAGATTGCCAGGCCTTTCTTCCAAGGCACCTCTGGTGGGATCAAACCTCCAACCTTTTGGTTAGCAGTTGAGCATGTTAACCGTTTGCTCCACCAGGGACTCCGGAAGGATGACTAGCATGTAGTGAACGGTGGTTACCCTCAGGGCCGTGAACATGAGTCAAAGAGAGGGTGGTGGAGACAATAGACTCACTTTCTTATTTTATACATTTCTGTATTATTTAAATGTTTGTAACAAGCATGCTCTATGCTTGTGATAAAAAATAAACTAATATGACAATAAAGCGGGATGGTAGAGTGGAGGTGATGCCTAGCCGGCAGAAGATCTGGGGCTGCATCCTAGACTGGCCACTAAATTATGAGGTCCCACCCTCATCTAAGTAGCCCTGGTGGCACAGTGGTTAAGCACTTGGCTGCTAACCGACAGCTTGGCGGTTCGAACCCACCAGCCGCTCTGAGGGAGAAAGATGGGACAGTCTGCTTCTGTAAAGATTACGTAAGTCTTGGAAACCTTATGGGGCAGTTCTACTCTGTCCTATAAGGTCGCTATGAGTCAGAATTGACTCAACGGCTATGGTGGGATCCTCGTCTTTCACTGAGACTTGCTTTCTCATCTATTTGTAAAGTGGGTTGGACTAGGCTACCCCTAGGATTCCCCCCTGTGGAGCACTATGATTCTCCAAGTAAGGCTTCCTTAATGTGAGCTGGCCTGTTGGGGACCAAGCCTGTGTCCTAGAATCTTCCCTTCCTGCTAAACTGGAGCCAGATTTCCCTCTCCTCTGGGAAGAAACAGAGGACATTGGTGGCTCACTGGTAGAATTCTCACCTTCCATGCGGGAGACCCAGGTTTGATTCCTGGTCAAGGCACCTCATGTGCAACCACCACCTGTTTGTCAGTAGCGGCTTGGGTGTTGCTATGATACTGAACAGGTTTCAGTGGCGCTTCCAGACTAAGACAGATGAGGAAGAAAGGCCTGGCAACCTACTTCTGAAAATCAGCCAGTGAAAACTCTGTGGATCACAACAGTTTGATCTACAACCAATCATGGGGATGGTCCAGGACCAGGCAGTGTTTTACCCCATTGTGCACAGAGTTGCTATGAGACAGGGACCAATTCAATAGCAGCTAACAACCAATGGCTGGGAAGAAACAAGCCAGGAGCTGCTCCCTCCCGGCCCATGGGAGGAAGGGAAGCACCTAGCACTCTGATAAGCAGGTGCATCCATTATTTATGCGTGAGGCCATTCCATATAAATTCCAGCTTGAATTATTCAGCGTGCGTAGGAAAGGTTTCTGGGAAGCATCAGATATTGACGCATCTGGTGAAATATCCACCCTAGGAGATCCCTTCCCCGCTCCCCACGCGGGCCAAACACTTTCCATATCCACATGGCTCCTCCTACCTCAATGGGCTGCCACTCGCCCAGGACAAACACGTGCAGCATGTTCACATCCGGGTCCTTGTGGAAGATGTTGGGCTTGGCATGATGCTGAAAGTGGCGATGGTTCCACCAATTGGCTGAGGCGCCCTGTGGGAGGAGGGGACAGGAGGTGAGCAGTGCATTCTACCAGGGACCTGAGCCCCGCTGTGGTGAGCCACTGCCTCAGGACCAGTTCCCAGCATCTCCAACACTCAGGGACGACTTCTCCATGAGGTAGAGTGCCCCAGGCCCCAAAAAGTCAGAATGTGGCCCTAACACCAGAGTCTAGAGCAGCTGGCCAGCCCCTATGGCCAGGACTACAGGATGGATTCAAGTCACTCCATCCCTCTAGGCCTGTTTCCTCAATGGTAAAATGGTGATGGTAGCTGAGAAGTGCTGGTGTTGGACCACATGGGAGCACATCAGCAAGTGTGGGGGTGGTCCAATCCCCGCCAGTCCCTTCCACACCCACTCACCCACTGCACATCTCTTGTGTGGGGGGTCGTACAAGAAAAAGAGGTTTCAGGACAGCAAGAAGTGGTCCCTCCTGTGTGACCCTGCAATTCCACTCCTATGCATATACCCAAGAGACATGAAAATATATCCATGCAAAAGCTTGTACATGAATGTTCACTGCAGCACTATTCACAATAGTCAAAAAGTGGAAACAACCCAAATGCCCATCAACTGATGAATGGATAAATAAAACGGGGTACAGCCATACAACAGAATATAATTTGGCCATAAAAAGGAACGAAGCACGGATACCTACTACAACATGGATAAACTTTGAAAACGTTACGTGAATTGAAAGACACCAGACACTGAAAGCAACGTTTATCTGAAATGTCCAGAAGAGGCAAATCTATACAGAAAGTAGATCAGTGGTTGGCTGGGGCTGGAGGGAGTGGGAGGTTGGGGTTTGATGGGTAAGGAGTGTGGGGTTTCTTTTGGGGTGATAAAGATGTTCTAAAATTGATTGTGGTGATGGCTGCACAAATCTGTGACTAGACTACGTGCCATTGATTTGGACTCTTTAAGTGGTGAATTGTGTGGTGTGTAAACTGTGTCTCAATAAAGCTGTTAAGATAAAGCAGTTCCCGCTCTCTGAGAGCTCATGGTACAGTTGGCAAGAGATAGCTGAACAGCCGAACACACTACTGTGAGAACTTTCTTGGCTATTTAAGCATAAAATTATGATTCCACGAGACAAGAGGAATCCCTGGATGGTGCAAGTGGTTAATGGTTAATGTGCTCAGCTGCTAGCTGAAAGGTTGGAGGTTCCAGTTCACCTAGAGGTGACTCGCAAGAAAGGTCTGGCCACCTACTTCCAAAAACTCAGCCATTGAAAACTCTATGGATCAACCAAAGATTAGACAGGCCCATAAAACAAACAATAATACACATAGCTCAACCATGTGTACCAGACTAAATGGGCACACGAGCCCAGGGGCAAGGACTGGAAGGCAGGAGGGGACAGGAAAGCTGGACGAATGGAAATGAGGAAGCCAAGGTCGAGAAGGGGAGAGTGTTGACTCGTTGAGGCTGACAACCAATGTCACAAAACAATATGTGTATTAATTGTTTAGTGAGAAACTAATTTGTTCTGTAAACCTTTATCTAAAGCACATTAAAAAAAAGAAAAAGAAAACTCTACAGAGCACAGTTCTACTCTGACACACATGGGGTTGCTATGAGCCAGGTCAACTCGACAGCAACTGGTATGAGACAAGAAGCATGACATGGGTATTTATTTCAAGGCCACGGATTTCCATCTCCCAGCTCAAGCTCTTGACGCAGCTTGTTGAGGCCTGACCATCAACTAAGCTGCCCAGTGACGCACAGAAGGAAATAGACTTTCCTTTTCTTTTTTTATTTTATGTTTTTTTTATTATTGTACTTTAGATGGAGGTTTACAGAACAAATTAGCTTCTCATTAAACACTATACATATTGCTTTGTCACATTGGTTACTAACCCCATGACATGTCAACACTCTCCCGTTACCAGCTTTCCTGTCCCCTCCTGCCTTCTAGTCCTTGCCCCCCTGGGCTGGTGTGCCCCTTTAGTCTCGTTTTTTTTTTTTTTTTTTTCTAGAAGCCTGTCTAATCTTTGACCGAAGTGTGAACCTCAGGAATGACTTCATTACTGAACTAAAAGAGTGTCCGGAGGCCATAGTCTCGGTGTTTCTCCAGTCTGTCAGGCCAGTAAGTCTGGTCTTTTTTTGAGAGTTAGAATTTTGTTCTACATTTTTCTCCAGCTCTGTTTGGGACCATCTATTATGATCCCTGTCCGAGCAGTGGGTGGTAGTAGCCAGGCACCACCTAGTTATACAAGAAACAGACTTTTCTGACCGGTTAGCCTGAAGAATTGTCCCTGGAACGATGCTTTGGCTAAGGGTCTGGCCATCTACAAAATGGCCTATTTGCTAAAACAAGCATTTTACTTGAGTGATGCTTTTGGCACAAACATGGTCTCTGAGAATTCTGCCACTGGCCACTAAAGCCATGGGTGGGAACAGCTATGAACAGCTGTGGCCTTGGTTATGATCTCAGGCCCTGGGAACAGGCAGATCTCAAAACCTATCAGAGCAAAAATATGTCGGAGAGTGAAAAAGCTTAGAAGATTGAGGAATCAGAAGACATATTCGAGCTTCTGGTCAAAAAGAACAAAATTCCTGGGAAGAATCAAATGGAAGTCTTTGGCACAATGAAGTTGAGGGAAAAGGCAGGTTACCAATAAGCATGATGTTTAGAAAATACCAACCAGTAGCTGTTTGTTGAATGAATAAGCAGAAGCAAGAAAGATGGGCCACGAAGACCACATGCAATGGGATGAGTGTCCGTGAGGTGGGACAGTCACACCTCTCCCTGGTCTTGGGATCCGATGTAATGACAAAATATTTTTCGTCCGTGCTATTTTCTGCCAGGTCCCTAGGTGGCGCAAATGGTTTGCACCTGACTACCCACCTAAAGGTTGGTGGTTTGAACACACCCAGCGACTCCGTGAAAGAAAGTCCTGGCAATCTACTTCCGTAGAGATCATCGTTGTTGTTGTCTTGTGCCGTTGTGGCAATTCTGACTCATGGCAACCCACGTGTTACAGAATAGAACTGCTCCATAGGGTTTTCTCGGCTGTAATCTTTACAGAAGCAGATCGCCAGACCTTTTCTTCCAAGGTGCCACTGGGTGGGTTCGAACCTCCAACCTTTCGGTTACCTGACGAGTGCAAACTATTGTGCCACACAGGGACCCAAGAAAACCCTGTGGAGCTCAGTTCTACTCTGTAACACTTTGGAATCGACTTGATGGCAATGGGTTTGGTTTTGGTTATTTTCTGCCCTGATTCCCTTCTATTCTTCAAGAACCGCTCCTTCCCGGGCACTGTGAGGCCCTGGCTGTCCAGGAATAATCACCAGCCCTCCATGTTCCCAGAATGCTGTGCTGATGCTGCTGCTCTGGGCCAGCCACTGTGCTGGGCCCTGGGAGAAGTGGTGAGCCTTACCCTCAGGGAGCTTCTGGCTAGTGAGGGCACCCACAGCCTTTCCCAGCACCACACCAAGCTGAAATAAGGCTAGGAAAGAGGGCAGCTGACAGAACTGGAAAAGCAGCAGGTGGCCAGAGACTATGGAGTGCTTTCCCAACCAGGGGAGAGGGGCAGGAGAGCATGGGCTGCTCCAGAAACCAAACGAAGGCCCTGTGGTGAGCCAGAGACCCAGGCAGTGCTGGGCCAAGCAAGCGTCTCGAAGCCTGAAGCAAAAGGAAAAAATGTCCACCTCTGGCTTTAATGGAAGGAAGCTCATCAATAATATTTTCAAAATCTAATTTTTTGCTCATCTCATTTTCAAACAGAGGATTGCCATGTTTGACAATTTCTATTTACCAAATAACAATCTTAAATTTTAATGAACTTAAATAAAATAATAAATTCTGTCTTGGTGTAAATAAAATATTTAAACTTAAAGTAATAGGGTGACTTTTAATACACCAACTTGTCAATTTTTAAATATTTCTCAACTAATGTTCTGGAAAAAATATCAGCCTATTAAAAAACATACAAACACATATATATAAACTCAAACCACCAAACCCACTGCTGTGGAGTCTATTCCGACTCATAGCGACCCTACAGGACAGAGTAAATTTACCCCATAAGGCACATCTTTCTCCTGCAGAGTGGCTGGTGGGTTCAAACCGCCGACCTTTCAGTTAGCAGCCGAGAGCTTAACCACTGCGCCACCAGGGCTCCTAAACAAGTACACAGGGGCACACCTTTTTCCTTTTACCTCTGGTTCCAACATGGCTCAGCATAAAATTTTGGTATTTTGTTCCTCGGGATTTTTTTGCATTAATTTTTACTTTTTAATATGCTGCATTAAAACATTTGGGCACCCATCAACAGATGAATGGATAAACAAAATGTGGTACATACATACAACGGAATATTTCTCAGCTATAAAGAAAAACAAACTCCTGATGCATGCCACATGGATGACCCTTGAAAACATTATGCTGAGTGAAATAAGTCAGTCGCAAAAGGTCAGACATTGTACGATCTTACTTATAGAGACCAAGATTATTAGTAGCTATGGCTCCATGAGAGAAAGACCTGGCAATCTGCTTCTACAAAAATTACAGCCAAGAAAACTCTATGGGGCAGTTCTATTCTGTAACACATAGGGTCTCTATGAGTAGGAATCGAATCCATAGCACAAGACAACAATGACAAAGGTGGGAGGGGCGGGGGGAGCTTTTGCTTAGGGGCATTGAGGTAACATTAAAGGTGGTGAAATCATTTGGAAAAAGATAGCAAGAATGATTGCACAACTTGAAGAACGTATTCAATGTCCCTGAATTACACATATAGGAATTGTTGAGTGGTGAGTGTTTTATTGTGTACGTTTTCGGCACAATAAAAAAAAAAAAATTATTTAGCTTGATTACTGAGGTTTTTGTTGTCCCTTTAAGTTTTGAGCCCTAGGTGAGTGCCTCACTTGCTGTACCCTAGTTCCAGAAATGAGGCTGTGGAGAGACCAGCAGATCTCCACATCCAGATGCAGCATCTACGGGGCGTGGGCCTCGCGGTTGGCATGTAAGTGCAATGCCTGATGATTAAACGGTTTTAAGCAGGGTGTGACTGCTGAGAAAAGTCTTTGTAAAAGATAACCCTCTGGAAGAAATGTGCACCAGAAGTGACATGGCCTAAAGGGAAAGGGGAAGTCAGGATGTGGTGAACACATGCGTGAAAGCCTCCCACAGCCAGAATGCCAGTGAGAAGCTGACCGGCCTCTCAAGCCGCACACATCCTGCTCACTATCCGAAGCAGCTTGTACCAGAACATCTGAGTTGGCAGGATGCTCGAAGGCCTCCCTGCAGCCAGTCTTTTTTCCCAGAGAAGGTAACAGAGGCATGGAGAGACTACAAGGCTTGCTCACAGCTTCGTGACTGTGGAGTGCCCAGAGCTGTGGGGCAAACTGTGACCCTCCTGGGGAGCCGCACGGCCACGCCACTGGCCTGGCTCAGTGACACATGGCCAAGGACACAGTCAGCAGGGGCTGGCGAACCCTGAGTGGGACCCACATCCCTGACCGCCTCTAGCCTCTGAGCCCAATGGTCCTGTTTCCCATCATCCCAGAGTTCTGATTTCACAAGCAGACATTCTACGTGGAGGCCAGTCTGTCTTGGCCAGGTCTTCCTGATGATGCAAGAGCAGAACGGAGGGCCACCGGGCAGGAAGAGCCCTTCCAGGCCAGCCCAGAGTCTGGGAGCAGGACACAGCCCATCTTTGTTCAGTGTGGGGGATAACAAGGGTCGGGAGTAAAACGTTACTTTCTAATACTGAAGAGAGTTTTATCCACCAGAAAGGAGCATAAAATGAAACAAAGCACTCTACTATTTCACCATCTGAAATTCTGGAAAGAAACCAGGTTCTCAGACCGCTTCAGGCTCAGGGCCAGGCAAACCGCTTGCTGTGGAACTGGCTATAAGCTCAAGGGTGGTTCACCCCCAACCACAGACACAGCAGGCAAGCCGAGGGCTCAATGCAGTCTGCACCTCAAGGGGGGACACTTAGCTCTTCCCAAGCCAGGTTCCAGAGGAACGGGAGTCTTTATTGTTGCTAGTTGCCGTCGAGTTGATTCCAGCTCATGGCAACCCCATGTGTACAGAGTAGAACTTCTCCATAGGGTTTTCAAGGCTGTGACCTTTCAGAAGCAGATTGCCAAGCCTGCCTTCCAAGGCGCCTCTGGATGGGTTCAAACCACCAACCATTCGGCTAGTAGTGGAATGCTATGGAAGTCTTTATTGTTGTTAGGTGCCATCAAGAAGGCTCCGACTCACAGTGACCTTCTGTATCCCAGAAGGAAACGTTGCCCTGTCCTGCACCATCCTCACAATCATTGCTATGTTTGAGCCCATTTAGCACCCAGCTTTTCTCAGGAAGCAGCCAGATGCCATTAGGGGTAGGGCTGGGCCAGGAAATGGAGAGTGGCAAAGACTTATCTCCAAAATGCCCATCAAATCACCACAAGGTCATTGGCAAGTCCGGCTTGTCTTTTTACAAACTTGCAATGCTGTAATGCTTCTATAGGTTCACCCCTCATCTGCAGGATGGTAAGAGTAGAACAGCCTTACCTTCTGAGTTTTAAACAGCTTTTGTCTACTGGCTCAGTTGATTATACTGTTTGATGGCCCTGATCTGTAAGGACATACGTAATAACAGTGCTTACTTTTCAGACCCCACATACTTCCAAAAAATATTGGAGACGGCTTACAGTAAAGGACTCATACATAATGGAATGACTACAATAAAGATAAAAGCTTACATGGCATGTGATAGGAGGGAGAGATAAGTACTGCATACCAAAAACTTTAAGACTGAGGAGAGTTGCTGTTCCAAACTTTGCTTTGCACGTCCTGGCCACTCAAAGAAATAAAGGAGAACCAAGCCAAAAAAAAACCCAACCAGTTGCTGCCAAGTCGATTCTGATTCATTGCAAACCCACACATTTCAAAGTAGAACAACGTATAGGGTTTTTCCAGCGGATGTGACCTTTTGGAAGCAGATCATCAGGCCTTTCTTCTGAGGTAACTCTGGGCAGATTTGAACCACCAACCTCTTGGCTAGTAGCCAAGGACTTAGCTGTTTATGCTATCCAGATAAATAGCTCATGTTACCTAACGAAAGGAAGTGTACCAATTCATCAAGACAGAATGTTCTTTTACTGGCCCCAAACTAAAAGGGATTTATTAGCTATATCCTTAGGTTATTGCCGTTGTTGTTAGATGCGGTCAAGTCAGCTCCCAACTCATGGCGACCACAGGCACAACGTATTTAACTGCTCAGTCCTGTGGAATCCCCACAGTCAGTTGCAGATAGGACTGTTGTGATCCATGAGGTTTTCACTGGCTGATTTTCAGAAACAGATCACTGGTCTTTCTTCCTAGTCCATCTTAGTCTGGAAGCTCAGCTGAAACCTGTTCAGCATCAGAGCAACACACAAGCCTCCACTGACTGCTCATGAGGTGCACTGGCTGGGACTCGAACCTAGGTCTCCTGCATGAAAGGCAAGAATTCTACCATTGAACCACCACTGCCCCCTTTCAGTCCTTAGATGGGGGTATCAAATGATATAACGATCATCCGAGCCAACAGACAGGAGAGGCACGTGCCAGGAATGGAAAAGGTGCTATAGCATGGCCCAGCCAGCAGAATGCAGTTCTCATAGGCAGACCTGCCTTGTTACATCAGGGCACTGATCTGAGAGGGCTCCTTGTCTCAGAGCAAAGTTTGATGGCGCTGCCCCCACATCTACCCGACAGGATGCCCGGGGCTGCGATATTTACCTTCATGTGGCCAATGATGAACTTGTGGACGATGTGGTTCCACCTGGATTTCTTGTAGACAGAAAGGTGGCCGTAGTCATGTTGCAGCCATCCAGCCTGAACCTGGGGAGAGAGGGCCACAGATCTCATCACTGCTTCTGCCAATATGCACCAGGCCCCTGCAAGATGGCGGGGAAGAGCATGTGAGCTCCAAGAGACAGATGAGGGTGTCACACTTCACCTGCGAGGTAGCAAGAACAAAGGTCGTAATGAGGGTCGGAATCCAGCCATTGCCAAAGTAGAAGATGATGAACCATGCGAGGCTCTCCATGGCTATGATGTGGGCCAGGAGGAGGAGGAAGAACAGGTGGTTGGTCTTGAACAGCTTCAGGTCCTCAGCTGTTTTCTTCAGGGCCCGGAAGTCCTCGGTGATCTGCGACTGTTGAGCAAGAGCCCCAGGAAGGGAGTCAGCCACCCAGCCACACTCTAGAGGGGACCAAAGCCTTGTGACCACAGCACCACCAACGGCTGCCATCTGCCTTGTGCCTACCGTGTGCCTGGCACAGCCCTGGGGACTCTGTCCACAGCTAGCTCAGTGGCAGAGAAAGGGTTTGACTCAGAGTTTGCTTTTTCCACCCCACTCCACGGCCTCTCCAGTTCTGGGCCCTCCATCAGGTCTCCAGAGGGTTGAGGTGAGGAAGACACGAATAGTCCAGGATGAAGTCCCTGCCCCCAGAGAGCACAGGAGAGGATTTGGTGACCACTGGGCACACGGAGCCAGGGAGAGAGATGCAAGCCAGGAATGGCTTTGGAGAAATGATGGCATCACTGGGAGAAAGAAGGAAGCTGGGAGGCAGGGCAGGAGGGGAAAGAAAGCAGAGACAAAGGAACTAAAGGAATCCACTGGGACATCACCAGGGGACTTGGAAAGAGCAGTTTTGGTGGTGTGTGGATGGAGGAAGACAGATCTGGGAGACTGCGTGGTAAGCAATGAAGAAGCTATCCATATGGGCAGCTGTGACAGGGAGGAAGGATGGGAGCCAGAGACACAATGTCAGGAAGGAGGGAGCCTAGAAGGGCGCTGGTGAGGGTCAAAAGGGACAGAAGACAGAGCCACGCGTGAAGAAGGTGGGATGGGACCTGGAGGTCAGTTTGAGCAAGGGAAGAAGGCAACAGTGTGAGGAGGGGCAGAGACCCAGAAGTCCGGAGGGGAGGAGAGCTCACAGCCCCCGGAGCATGCGCAGAATGGCCTTAATTTCCTCAGAAGACCAAGTACAATGGTGAGGCCACTGAACAAGATGGAGACCCTGTGCTCAGCCTGGCTCTGCTGAGACCCTCAAGGTGAAGGGGTCAGGGATGGATCACTCCAAGCTAGGGGGTCAGCAAGAGGAGGAGGGTCTTGCTGGGGACAGGGTCTGGCTTCACCAGGAAATGTTCCTATCCCGGATGCGAATCAGAGGCGGGAGCTCTGAAAGAGCCGTCCCCGTCGGGCAGGGAGGGTGCTCTGGCTGCCGAAGCACAGCCAACAAAGGGACCCAGCTGCCCGCTGGCACTGAGGCAGGGCATAGCCTGCCAGGAGACAGGTGGAGTCGGGTTGCACCACCATCCTGTCTGCTGGTGACGCAGGCAGTGCCAGCCTCAGCCCTGGGCTCTGGCACCAGCTCTGGGGTCATGAGCCTGGTGCAGACCTGCACATGCTGCCCTGGATGAGGCTGGCTGGGCGGCTCCCGGAGTGAGCAGGGCCCTCAGGTCCAGGCTAGATCCAGGCTTCTGGAGAACGGCGACTCGGGCGGGGGAAGGCTGGGATTGAGGAGAGAGGGGAGGGGCAGGAAGAGGGACTGGACCATGCTGCTCCATCGTGGACATGGGGTCTTAGGTGACACGCTTTTCAGCCGTTTAACAAAAGAGCCCTATGAGGCTTCAGGTGTTGCTACTTTTACTTACTGTTGTCTCGAAAGCCCAGCACCTGGCCTGGTGGCTGACATGTCCTAGACCAGGAGCAAATGGCTAAGTAGTGGTGGTTCTTTCTCAAAGAGGCACTCCCTGACCACTCAGGGGCCCCGCTTTCCCACCGAGCACATCACTATCTGCTGTCTTCCTGTGTGTTTCTGCAGTCTTTCCCCTAGACTGCCCTGTCCCAGACCAGCAGCGGGCATCTTTGTAGAAAGAAGGGAAGGAAGGAGGGGGAAGATGCAGCCACCAGCCTGGCTCCTGGCGTGACAGGCAGCGTCCCTTCTCCAAGACTGGCACAAAGGCTCCCCTCCCCAAGCTGAGCGCCCCTCTCCCTCCTTGGCCCCCTGCCCAACTCACGTTCTTGCCGCGGTCCTGGCTGGGCTCCTCTGGGGCCAGCTCCCCGACCAGCAAAGGCTTCATGTACTTGCGCACAAAATCGAGGTTGGGGTGGAAGGCGTGGAAGGCGTCCTGGGAAGCAGAGGGGCAGGTGGTGAGGATGGGACCCCACCTCTATCTGCTCCTCCCCCCACCTTGGAGACATCAAACGGGGTGTCCCTTGATCTGGCTCCATATGCCCTCTCCAGCCTCATCTCTGGCAGACCCCTCAATGCCCACCTCCAGCCACGCAGCCACGTGGGCCTCTGCCCTGACTTGGGCATCGTGGGCATGCTGAGCTCACCGAGGGCTTGTGTACAGACGTGTGGCTGCCTTTGGGCAAGTCGGCAAAAGGAGGCCTTCCAGGGAGATGCACCACGTGGGCAGGGGCTGGAACGAGTGCAGGTAGGGCTTGCACCACTGTGGCTCCTGAGCTGGGTGCCTTACTGTGAACGCACCAGCCACCACAGCACAGCAGCTCCTTACCCACATCACGCATGGTGATCAATAACAAGACTGAAGACTAATACCTCATAGAAAACGTGTTTAGGATATAATGGGAAACAAAACAAAGCAACTCCTGAAACTATCCCCGGAGGCTGATTTTTCAGAAGTAAATTACCAGGGCTTTCTTCCGAGGTGCCTCTGGATGGACTTGAACCTTCAGCCTTTCAGTTAGCAGCCAAGTACATTACCATTTGTACCACACAGGGACTCCAAGTTAACCCCACAGGTGTCACAATGATGCATTTTAAAATGGTTCAGCCAAAAAATAAAACTACATAAAGAGGGAGAAAGCAAATGTGGCAGAATGTGAATCTGGGTTGGGGATATAGAGGGGTTCCTTTATTCTTTCAACTTTCCTGTATATGTTTGGAAATTTCAAAAAAAGAAATTGAGGGGAAAATGCCAACAACCCATAAAAATCTTTTCAGCTCCCATCAGAGTATCTCCCAACAGTAATTGCCACTCTTCCCCTGTCTCCTTACCTCATCCCTGCCTTCAAGTCCGTCTGCCTGATCTTTGTTCTATTTGAGTCTAGAACAGACTTAACAGCGCAACACTTTGTGCAGAGGAAAACTGGACCCAGGGTTTTCTTAAAGGAAGTCTGTTCCTCTAGCTGAGCAAAAAAGGACAGGAGTCCCTGGGTGGCGTAGGTGATTAAGTGTTCAACTACTAGCTGAAAAGCTGGCAGTTCAAACCCACACAGAAAAGCCTTGGAAGACAGGCCTGGCAATCTGCTTCTAAAACGTCCCAGCCTGGAAAACCCTATGGGGCAGATCTACTCTGCACACATGGGGTCGGAATTAACTCGACAGCAACCAAGGACGACAGGGATCAGATCAAGTATAGTTTCAGAGAAAGCAGAAGTGCTATTCCAAGGCCCCTGGGCAGGCAGTCAGGAGGCCCAGGTTCCAGGGCCGACAAGCTCTGCAGGACTCTGGGCGTGTCACCCCCACCCCTGTTCCAGTCTCCTCTGCAAAGGGACGACCCTCCCATGTTAGAAGGCCCTGGGAAAGGCCCAGCAGAAGCTTCCAAATTCAGAGCCCGGGGCTTGGCCTGAAAAAGCCCGCTCTCCTCACATCTGACGACATCTTTTGTGCAATGAATCGGAAGTCCTTTGTACAACATTTTCCTGAGGAACAGCTGCTGTGTCAGATTACGAAATGATTACGCTTCACTTCTCTGTAAAGGTGAAAGTCGAGAGCTTGCCAGGGCATTCATTTCACACCCATATCCCAACCCTTCAGTTCCAGGTCACCCTTCCAAGGCCCTGCCTGGGCCAGGAACCTGGGGGAGCAGACAGACACACCGCTGCTCTCACAGAGCCCCCTCATCAGCCATGTCTGGAGGGCACTCTGAATCCTCTCAGGCAGCCTCACTCCCTGAGGCCAGGAGAAGGGAACCCACACATGCCAGGCAGGGAGCCAGGAGCATTGTTTGTGTTACCACACGGAAGCTTCGAAGTCCTCCTCTACAGATGAAAAAACTGAAGCTGGGGAGGGTGAAGACCTGTGCTCAAGTGGCTCCAGCAACTGCTCTTTCCCACATGCCCCTGCTGGATCAGCTCATTGTCGGTGGTAAATCTAGCAGCTTCCTGAGGCACTGAGCAGGCCGTCCTTGAACGCACCAAGCTCATTCCCATACCAGGGACTTTGCATTCCATATCAACATGGGGCCAGCTCCAATTAGCTCTGGGCCCCAAAGTCACATCGAAGAGGCATTTCCCAACCACCCCATCTGAAATTGTTGTTGTTAGCCGCCATCAAGTGTGCCCCTGACTCATAGCAACAATGGAATGAAAACACTGCTTGGTCCTGTGTCATCCCTGTGATTGGTTGCGGATCAGAGCATTGGGATCCACTGGGCTTTCACTGCCTGATTTCTGGAAGCAGATCTCCAGGCCTGTCTTCCTAGTCCATCTTAGTCTGGAAGCTCCGCTGAAACCTGTTGAGCACCAGAGCAACACGCAAGCCTGCCCTGACATACAGGTGGTGGCTGCCCATGTGCATTGGCCAGGCATCCTGGGTTTCTCTAGGGCATTACCCTGTTTTATCTTCATAGCAGTTATCCTGATTGAAAACTATATTATTTCCTCACCTTTTATTGTCTGTCTCCCCCACTAGGACTTAAGTGCTACAGTGGAAGAGCCACGCCTGTCTTATTCACTGCAGTAACCCCAGTGCCTACAACGGTGCCAAACAAGAGGGCTCAGAATGAATGAATGAGCCCAAGACCCCCCAGCTGCACAGCCTCTGACCCCAGGAGGCTTGTCCACTCGCAGCCATGTTCAGACTTTTCTCCCACCATTTTACACCACTTGGCTTATGCTTCTGAAACACTCAGAATTCTCTGTCTTCTCCATCCATCCAAATTTCACGGTTCGCATAGCTGCTGTGTTGAGATTACGTACACTAGTCACTGAGGTAAGGGCTTTGCACACATAATCCCACAAATCTTTCACAAACTCTGTCAGGTAAGCCATATTGTGGTGGTGTTGTTGCCAAGTGCTGTCATGTCAAGCTGACTTATAGCCACCCCATGTGACAGAGAACTGCCCCATAGGCTTTTCTAGGCCTGGTAGTTAAAGCACTTGACTGCTAACCAAAGGGTCGGTGGTTCGAAACCACCAGCAGCTCTGAGGGAGAATGATGTGGCAGTCAGCTCCCATAGAGATTTACAGCCTTGGAAACCCTATGAGGTCGCTATGAGTCAGAATCGACTCAGTGGCAGTGGGTAATCTTTATGGGAGCAGATCACCAGGTTTTTGTCTCTCAGAGCCATTGGGTGGGTTCAAACCACCAACCCTTCAGTTAGCAGCCAAGCGCTTAATTGTTGCACTACCAGGCCATATTGTAGAGATGTGGAAAGAGGCCTAGGGAGGTGAAGTTATTGCCGAGGGTCACACTCCAGGAAGTAGTCAAGCCAGGATTCGAGGCAGGTGTCAACTCCAGAGCTCTTTCCCCTGCAGTACAGTTGGCCCTCCGTATCCGCGGGTTCTGCATCTGCAGATTCAACCAACCACGGATCGAAAATATTTTTTTAAAAAACTTTTTTTTTCCTTGTCATTATTCCCTAAACAATACAGTGTAACAACTATTTACATAGCATTTACATTTTATTAAGTATTATAAGTAATCTAGTGATTCAAAGTATACGGAAGGATGTGCATAGATTATATGCAAATACTATGCCATTTTATACAAGGGACTTGAGCATCTTCGGATTTTGGTATCCGAGGGGGGTCCTGGAACCAATCTCCCATGGATACTGAGTGACAACTGTACAAAGGCCTCAAGCTAAATGAGCTTCCTCCTCCATCACAGCGGATCACTCTCCCTCCAAAGGGCCACACACTTGTAGGTTCACACACTGTTGACTACAGAAATGTCTGGCTGGTGCAAGGCAGGCCACGGTGCATGGCAGCACAGGGCCAAACCAAACGTTGATCTTGGAACAAGAATTGGAACCAGGCTCCACCCTTGTCTGACAGGGAGAGAGGCCAAAGGCTTTTCAGGAAGAGGACCCGGGATGCAGGTGAAGAGGAGGAGCGAGATCATTTGTCTGGAGAGGCAGACTGGTTGAGAGCAGGTTGAGAGCAGAGCCGAGCTGGCCCCCAGGAAGGTAGGTAGGGATGGGGTGGGGGATTCAGGTTGCAGGAGGAAGCATCCCAACACCCAGGATCCTAAAAGGCAGACATGTGTATGTCATACTTTCTGATCTTGGCCAATTGTGTCTTCTGCCGTCGGCCAGCTCCAACATCAGCCAACTTCGTGACATTACCCCTGTCCCCCTGCTCCAGGTGGAACGCCTGGCTCCCTCTGCACTCAGCACCTGGTGCCATGATGTTGCTGGATGCGCCAATCTTCCTTGCAGAGATGTGAGCGCTTCCTGTGCCAGGCCAGTCTCTAACCCAACTCTGAACGTCTGGCCGTTAGCCCAGGACTCAGGGGCGGTGGGATGAGCCAGCTCGGGGAACAGGGCTCTGTGGACCAAGTGCTTACAGGGGGAGGGGACGCAAAAGAGGGACTTCTTCACCCCTTGACCCAAGTTTTAGAAAGAGCAGAGACGAAGATGCTGACTTCCTGTTGGCAGCAGAGATGGAGGCAGAGCCGGAAGCCCAAGTGCCAAGTCCTGGGCAAGGCAAACAAGCAGTGCGGACTGGCGGAGCTGTGCTCTGGGGCCAAAGAGCCCCTCAGCGGGAGCATCTCCACTGACACAGTGCACACACACTGCCCAGGGGTGGAAGATTTGCACAGGAAGTGGGCCCCTACAAAGGGAAGCTGGGGCTGAAGGGGTTACAACAGGAAGCCAACTCTGCTGATGCCACTTGCCATAGTCATGTCACAGAGCCAATACCAGGAACGCTGGGCTGGGGCAGCAAGAATGGTCCCACACGGAGGGGGTGGAGCTGCCCTCCAATCCACAGCGGGGGGTGGGGTGGGGGTCATGCACAGCAAATGTGTGTTCCTTCTGCAAAACCGGTCATGAAGGTTCCTCTTTCTGCTGTTCCGCCTTTTCTTTTTACTGAACTCCGTACTAGGGGTGCTAGGGATCACACATGATGCTAAGGGGACAAGGTGCTGGTCCCC